TTATCCCAATATGCCAAGGTTGCAGTTCAATCCCTGGTCAGGGCACATACAAGAAGCAACCAATGAATGCATAAGTAAGTGGGACAACAAATCGATGTTTCTCTTTCTCCCTTCCTCTCTCTATAAAATCAATCAATAATTTTATTTTTTAAATTGGTGGGTATTGCTTCATTCCCTGCTAATAGTGACCCTACAAGCAAACCCATGTTTCTAAAACCCACCGTCTCCTATAAGAAGAAGCACTAAACCCCCAAAGTGACACAGGACAAGGGCAAGGAATCTGTATGCCCAGGGAAAGGGACTATGACAGGAAACAGTGACTATGGTGAGCAAACTATGCCGATTTTCTGGAAAAGGGCTAAAACTGCAAAGGAGATCAGTTGTGCTGAAGCTTGAATGCATTGAGCCCAACTGCAGACCTAAGGAGTGCTGGCCATTAAGACATGCAAGCATTTTGGCCCTACATGCTTTGGCTCAGGGATAGAGTGTCGGCTTGTGGACTGAAGAATCCCGGGTTTGATTCTGGTCAAGGGCACATACCCCGGCTCGATCCCCAGTAGAGGGCATGTAGGGGGCAGTGGATCAATGATTCTCTCTAATCATTGATGTTTCTATCTCTCCCTTTCCCTTCCTCCCTGAAAAAAAAAAAAAAAAAAGACGCAAGCATTTTAAACTGGGAGGAGATAAGAGGAAGGGCCAGTTGATCCATTTTTATTATGAAGACACTGAAATCTTGTGGTTATGTTCACTTAAAAAAATTGGGAAATTGAAATAATCACAAATATATTAAAAGCCTTGGGGAAACATTTTTCCGCCCCAGGGGAAAAATATAAGTAATTGTTAAAATACTATCTAGGAAGTTATTATAATAGATTATTCAGATTCTAGGATATCATGATACTGACTAAATCTTAAAGCAGGTTGGCTTTGGGTTATAATGGGATCTTCCTAAAATTGAGTTTAGGAGAAAATAGTGAATAAAGAACAAAATTGAAGAATTTGAACAGTACAGACTTTTGGGGCCTTTAAAATCTTCCATTTATGTGTGTAGATTAATGTGTGGATCTTCAAAATGGCATTTTCCCACTGTCCATTTGGAATACAATAAGACAAATTAATACAAATCAAAATAATATGGCATCAGCATCACATAATTTGTGTACACTGATGTAGTAACAGATTTAATTTAGTGCAGCTTTTGAGAAGTCTTTTGTGTTTCAATTTATACAGCTGCTATCCAGGCCTACGCTGGCCAATCTCTCAGCCTTGATTGTCTTGCCTGACTGAGTCTCTCTTTCTCTCTCTTTTAAAGACTTTATTATTGTCCTATCCGGTTTGGCTCAGTGGATAGAGTGTTGGCCTGCAGACTGTAGGGTCCTGGGTTCGATACCAGTCAAGGGCACATGCCTGGGTTGCGGACTTGATCCCCAGTAGGGGGTGTGCAGGAGGCAACTGATCGATGTTTCTCTCTCATTGATGTTTCTAACTCTCTATCCCTCTCCCTTCCTCTCTGTAAAAAATCAATAATAAAAAAAAGATGCCAACTCCCTTAAAAAAAAAAAAGACTATGTTTAGTTTTGTTAGAAACCACCAAACTGTCTTCCAAAGTGGGGATACCATTTTGCATTTCCACCAGGAATGAAAGAGAGCTCCTGTTGTTCCACATTCTGGCCAGCATTTGTCAGTGTTTTGGCCATTCAAATAGCTGTATAGTGGTATCTTATTATTTTAATTTGCATTTCCCTAATGACATATGCCTTGGAGAATTTTTCATATGCTTCTTTGCCACCTGTATGTCTTCTTTGGTGAGGTGTCTATTAAGGGCATTGGCCCACTTTTATTTATTGGTAGCTGTGCTTTTTAGGACTGTATCTCTATAGTCCTATCCATCATAAATTGTACGTTAATGTCTTTGGTCCATTTTTAAAAATCAGATTGTTTTCTTGTTGTGAGTTTTTAAATTTTTTTTAATTGATTTTTAGTGAAAGAGAGAGGAAGGGAAAGGGATGGAGAGATAGAAACATCAATGATGAGAGAGAATCATTGATTGGCTGCCTCCTGAACACCCCACACTGGGGATTGAGCCTGCAACCTGGACATGTGCCCTGACTGGGAATTGAACCATGACCTCCTGGTTCATAGGTCAATGCTCAATCACTGAGCCATGCCAGCCAGGCTTGTTGTGAGTTTTAACAGGTTTTTTTTTGTATATTTTGGATAACAGTCCTTTTATCAGATGGATCTTTTGCAAATATTTTCTCCCAGTCTGTGGCTTGTCCTTTAATGAGACCCTGGCATTGTCTTTTGCAACACAAGGTTTTAATTTTTTTTTAAATGTATTTTTATTGATTTCAGAGAGGAAAGGAAAGGAGAAGGAGAGAGAGATAGAAACGTCAATGATGAGAGAGAATCATTGAATGGCTGCCTCCTGCACACCCCCTACAGGGGATTGAGCCCGCAACCCAGTCATGTGCCCTACTGAGCCAAACCAGCTAGGGCCAAGGTTTTAATTTTAATGAAGTTCAGCTTATCAATTTTTTTTTCATGGATTGTGCGTTTGGTGTTGTATCTAAAAAGTTATCATATATACCAAAGTCATCTAGTTTTCTCTTATGCCTCCTATGTTTCTCCTAGGGTATCTTCTAGGAGTTATATGTTTTATGATTTACATTTAGGTCTATGATTCATTTTGAGTTAAATTTTGTAAAGGGTGAAAGGTCTGTGTCTAGATTCATTTTTTTTTGTTTTTTGTTTTTCCTTGTTGTTCCAGCACCATTTGTTGAAAAGATTATTTTTGCTCTATTGTATTGCCTTTGCTCCATTGTCGAAGATCAGTTGTCTGTATTTATGTGGGTCTGTTTCTGGGCTCAGTATTCTATTCCATTGATCTATTTGTCTATTCTTTTGATTATCATAACTTGAAGTTGGGTGGTGTCAGTCCTCCAATTTTGTTCTTCTCTTTCAATATTGTGTTGGTTATTCTGGGTCTTTTGTTTCTCATTTAAACTTTAGAATTATTTTGCCAGTATCTATAAAATAACTTGCTTGGATTTTGACTGGGATTGCATTTAATGTATAGATCAAATTGGAAAGAGCTGACATCTTGACAGTATTGAGTCATCCTATTTATGAACTTGGAATATTTCTCCATTTTTAAGTTCTTTGATTTGGTTCACTACAAAATTCTGATGAACCAAACTATAAAACTCTGATTTTCCTCATGATAGATCTTGTACATATATTGTTAGATTTATACCCAAGTATTTTATTTTGGGGGGCTGGTAATGTAAATGGTATTGTATTTTTAATTTTATCTTTTTGTTTGTATTTTTAAATTCCACTTTTATTTTTCTTTTTCAATGTTTTCTAAATTTGTTTTTTTTAAATTCCACTTTTATATATTAACCTTGTACCCTACAACCTTACTACAATTGCTTATTAATTCCAGGAGCTATTTATTTTTTAATCCTCACCCAAGGATATTTTAAAAAATTGATTTTAGAGAGAGAGGAAGAGGGAGAGATAGAGAGAGAAATACCAATCAGTTGCTTCCCATACCTGCCCCAACCAGAGATAAAACCTGCAACCTAGTTACGTGCCCTGACTGGGATAGAATCCACAACCTTTGCTGTACGAGATGACGCTTCAACCAACTGAGCCACCTGGCCAGGGCTCCAAGGTTTATTTTGTTGATTCTTTTGGGTTTTCTATATAGATGATTATGTCATCTGTAAACAAAGACAGTTTTATCTCCAACTAGTCCCCTGGCCACCCTGGCTGCAAGAGAGGCCAGGACATGGAATATTTAACAGGGTAGCCTTGTACTTAACCAAAATTCCTATTCAGAAAGAACAGCTATTAGAAGATAGCCCTGCCCTATCCTGGACATTCATGATTTATTTAGATTTTTTTAATTTCTTGGGAAAAAGATGGAAATAACATTGTCACTGATAATTTTTTTCTAAAGTAAGTAATCTTTATATTGAAACAAAGGAAACATGATATTCAATCAAATAAGAGAAACATTGGCAATGTACTTGTGCAAAAGCTTTTTCTAAAAAATTTGTCCATTGACTGCTGTTTATTGATGCTTCTAAAAAATAGTTACCTACTCATTGCACCTACCCAGATAAGGGATGCAGTTATGATTGGACCTTACCATGGCCAATCATTTCTCTCTCAGGAAGGCTAAAGGAGAGATCAGAACACCACCCTGCTTAGAAATGGACACTATTGTGTTCCAAATCTTTGTGTTCTACCTAAAGGTTATGGAAAAGGGAAGGAATCTCATAAACAGAGGACTGGAGTCATGTGGTGAAGTCTGGATGCTGTGTGGTTTTGGATAGAGAGTAAAAATGCAATAGAGAATCTGTTGTGACTAGCCTGTACGTCTCTGCCTTGGTGCTTAAGAACCATAACTAGGCCTGACTCAAAGAGAGGGACAGTCTGCTGTGGAGAGAGCTGATGAATCCAGTGCTCTTGTTCAATGGATGGGGTGAAGCAGAGACTCTACAGCAGGTAGGTTTTGTAGAAGAGGGGCTACAGTTATAGCTATGGGTTTGGATTTCTTCCCTTTTATTTATTTAAAAATATTTTTATTGATTTCAGAGAGGAACAGAGAGGGAGAGAAAGATAGAAAAATCAATGATAAGAGAGCATCATCGATCGGCTGCCTCCTTCACGCCCCCCACTAGGGATTGAGCCTGCAACCTGGGCATGTGCCCTTGACTGGAATCGAACCAGGGACCCTTCAGTCAGCATGCCGATGCTCTATCCACTGAGCCAAACCAGCCAGGGTCGTTTTATTAAGATGAGATGGTTTTAAATGTATTTACTGTGTAAAATTGTTTTTATCAGAATGCTATTTACAATAACTGCTCAAATGTATATCTGTAACAGGTTAAAAGTTTTAATGTGACTATTAAGAAACATGTATAGTTGCACTATGAAACATCTCCATTTAAGAAAGTCTAACATTTTATATATTTTTTTGTTTATAGCCTATACAGTTCAGATACCCGAGAGTATGTCTCCATCTGTGGCCACAGAAACTTATGTGAAAGCTTTGGATTTTTGCCATGGACCTCTGGACCACTATGACTTTCTGATCAAAAATCATGAGATAAAGGAGGATGCACATCAAAGAAGAGTCATACAGTGTTTGCAGAAGTTACACGAGGACCTTAAAGGATACAGTATAGAGGCAGAAGGCATTTTTTCAAAGGTGAGGTTTGTGTGATGCTAAAGATTAAACAGTTAAAAGTATAAGCATTCTATAAAATGGATTAGATGCAGTCGGGTACAATCTGAAACAGCTTCAAAATTTCCCACCAGTTCCTTTAAATAAGCTCTGTTGATCCCCATATCTGACCTCTTGATGTTCCATAGCTTTCCTTCACCTTGGGGGGATTCAGATTGCTTCATGTTTACATAATAGTTGGTGCCATCCAGTCAAAATAAAAACTTCAGTGCCCTTCAAATGTTTCCCTTTCTCTTGCTGAGGCATAGCCAAGGATCAGCAGTGAAGGTGGAGTGATTTGTTCTTCTCCTTTCCCTCCTCCTCCTTTCTCTGCTTGCCTGGCTTTTCTAGGGTCAGAATGAGAGGGATAGAAGATTAAAGTGAAATAGCAGTCGTAAGTGACCAGTTAAGGGCCTTTGGTGTGATAGATATTGACATGCTAGCTCTTTGTTGAGGGGCACAGTGGTGGGTTCCTCAGGACCGCCCCAGTGCTCCACTCTTTGACCTCTTATGACTGTATCAGAATACCTCCCACCACTGCATGGGCAGCTTTAGTCAGCCTCCTGCCCTTGGACTTCTGCTGATAAGAAGTAGACATCAGTCTCTGTCTTAGTCCTGTGTACTCCCATGATCCTGGGGACATGTCAAGTTCTTCCATGAACTCTTCCACACCCTGCTTTGATAGCTGACTATAGATTTCCTCAGCTAAGCAAGCATTCTGCTTACACTCAATCCTCACTTTTTTAGATGCTTCTCTTAGGTTACCCCTGCACTTGGCATGAGGTTTATCTGGGGGAAATGCCACAGCATTTCTTACCCAGCTAACAGCTTTCACTTTGATGACTTTCTTCAGTTCTACTTTGGTTTTAGAGCTGATCTCCCCCCCTTTTAAATAATTCCTGCATGGATCTAACTAGTGCCTCTCTTAAGAGTGTAGGAAACCTTATCTCCCCTTATCCTCAGCTTTGAGCTTTTGCTGAAATTCTAAGATGACAGGAAAACTCCCATTCCTTATCCCATTATAGAAGTCAATGTCCTCAGTGGTGTCATCTTCAAATTATGAAGGATATTAATAGTAATAAGAGTTAGAATGTGGTTTAATCAAAGGAACTAGTTTTCTTTTAATTGGCCAAATCGCCCATCCCCTGCTCCCACACATGAATATTTGTTTATTATGTGGTCTTTAGGAGAAAGGTCCTGTATAATATGTGTTAGTAGTGCTTTATTAAAAATGATGGAAAGTAATTTTACTTTTTAAAAAGCACTCAGAGTATCCTATCTAATAAAAGAGAAACATGGTAATTAGCCGTACAGCCGCTACCCTTCCCATTGGCTAATCACTGAGAAATGCAAATTAACTGCTAACCAAGATGGCGGCCGGCAGCCAGGCAGCTGACGTGAACAGGGAGGCTTGCTTGCTTCAGTGATGGAGGAAGCCAGGTTCTCCGCCTGCCTTGCCAGCCTCTCAGCTGCTCTCTAAGAAACATTGTAACAAATATAGAAGCTAAAGTGACAGGGGGGAGCTCCTCAACCCCCTGATCGGCCCTGCTCTGTGTGTGACAGGGGGTGGTGCCCCAACTCCCCTATTGGCCCTACTCTGTGAGTGACAGGGGGGAGCTCCTCAACCCCCTGATCGGCCCTGCTCTGTGTGTGACAGGGGGTGGTGCCCCAACTCCCCTATTGGCCCTACTCTGTGAGTGACAGGGGGGAGCTCCTCAACCCCCTGATCGGCCCTGCTCTGTGTGTGACAGGGGGTGGTGCCCCAACTCCCCTATTGGCCCTACTCTGTGAGTGACAGGGGGGAGCTCCTCAACCCCCTGATCGGCCCTGCTCTGTGTGTGACAGGGGGTGGTGCCCCAACTCCCCTATTGGCCCTACTCTGTGAGTGACAGGGGGGAGCTCCTCAACCCCCTGATCGGCCCTGCTCTGTGTGTGACAGGGGGTGGTGCCCCAACTCCCCTATTGGCCCTACTCTGTGAGTGACAGGGGGGAGCTCCTCAACCCCCTGATCGGCCCTGCTCTGTGTGTGACAGGGGGTGGTGCCCCAACTCCCCTATTGGCCCTACTCTGTGAGTGACAGGGGGGAGCTCCTCAACCCCCTGATCGGCCCTGCTCTGTGTGTGACAGGGGGTGGTGCCCCAACTCCCCTATTGGCCCTACTCTGTGAGTGACAGGGGGGAGCTCCTCAACCCCCTGATCGGCCCTGCTCTGTGTGTGACAGGGGGTGGTGCCCCAACTCCCCTATTGGCCCTACTCTGTGAGTGACAGGGGGGAGCTCCTCAACCCCCTGATCGGCCCTGCTCTGTGTGTGACAGGGGGTGGTGCCCCAACTCCCCTATTGGCCCTACTCTGTGAGTGACAGGGGGGAGCTCCTCAACCCCCTGATCGGCCCTGCTCTGTGTGTGACAGGGGGTGGTGCCCCAACTCCCCTATTGGCCCTACTCTGTGAGTGACAGGGGGGAGCTCCTCAACCCCCTGATCGGCCCTGCTCTGTGTGTGACAGGGTACGGAGCCCCAACCCCCCTGATCGGCCCTGCTCTGTGCATGACAGGGGGCAGCGCCCCAACCCCCTGATCGGCTCTGCTCTGTGTGTGACGGGGTGGCGCCGCAACTTCCCTATCGACCCTGCCTTGAGTGTGACAGGGGGCGGTGCCCCAACCCCCCAATTGGCCGTACCCTGAGCGTGACTAGGGGTGGCATCGCAACCTCCCGATCCGCCCTGCTCTGTGCATGACAGGGGGCGGCCCTCAACTCCCCAATCGGCCCTGCTCTGAGCCCCAGGAGGGGCTGCACCTAGGGATTGGGCCTGCCCTCTGCCACCCAGGAGCAGGCCTAAGCCAGCAGGTTGTTATCTCCTGAGGGCCAGACTGCACAGACTGCAAGAGGGCACAGGCCGGGCTGAGGGGCCCCCCCTACCCCCCGAGTGCACAAATTTTTGTACACCGGGCCTCTAGTAATTAAATAGTTTTGTTTTTATGTAAAGAAAAAGGCTGTCATTGTGTTAATATCTTTTGGTTAAAAGGAATAGAGATTCACTTAGGTTACAGAAAGAAATGAAGATTTAGAAACACTGCATATGCATATAGAAATGAAGGGCATCTCCATTACACAGCCAGGCCTCCTGGAGCTTGAGTCTCAGAACCAGTGCCTCTGAAAGCTTTGAAGAGTTGACAGGCAGTAGTAGCAGGTACTAGTTACTCCACTGCTCTCCTACTCATGAAATCCATTTCCTCTTTTGTTCCTTTCCCCGCCATGTCCATTTTCACTTCTGTTTGTTTTACCAGCTTCTAAATTCTCTCCCTGAATCTGTGGTTTAAATTGCCCTGTAAGAATCTGATCACTTCATCACCAATCACTTCATCAGTGTTTGGGTAGAGCTTTCACACCGGGTTTTTCAGAGGCCACTAGTCAGTGTAAAGGTGGGATCTCTGCATAAGTTTCCATCCAGACCTCCTGTGAGCAGGGCTGTTTCCCTCAGAAGTAGACCACAAGTATAGTAGCACTATGATTGACTAGTCCAGCACAATAGTTATTGGAAATAATGACGAATCATCCCTTTTGATGACCAACCTTTTCTCCTTTAACCATATATCCAAAGTTTTAAGTGAGTAAAGTACTAAAAAGTTTGGAAAACTTAGACTTCTCATGTACTGCCTCCTAATTATAGATTGCAATATAGGTGGTCTTGCAAATAAAACAATAACTTGGTTATGTGTCATAGCCAGGAAACAAGATGTTTTACTTAATGGGATTTTTTGGTTACCTGAGAATTTAGTCTCATGAATTTATATCTTGTTCCCTTTCTAGTCCTCTTCCTTTTTAAAATACAGTCTTTTTTCCTCTTCCCCTTTCTGTATCATCTCTGGGGCTCATCTTCCTGTGGTTGGTGAACTTCCCATCCAATCAGAAGTATCCTTAAATCATTAACTTATCTGGTTGCCAATTCAACAATATTTGTTCCCTTTAAAATTTTTGTTTGGCAAAATAAAACCCATAAGTAAAAAAAAAATAAAAATAAAAAATTATTGTTTGGCTCTTCTTAGAGGTGTTCTCCCACACTTCCACCATTGATTTCTGAATTGGCTATGATGGTTCTACCTAGTAAATAACCCTGGTTTAATTGTATAATTGTAATCTTATGTAAGTAGGAGATTTGACATGTCAGCTAGCTTTCAGTGTGTTTAATGAAAGCTTATATTTGTTAAATGCTAAAGCATATGTGAATAAATGTTTAGTTGTTAGATCAAATATCTCTTTGTGGTAATATTTGTCCTGTAATTTCTTCAGTCTACCAAATCTTTAACATTGTAAAAGACCCAATCAGCGCCCTAGCCAGTTTAGCTCAGTGGATAGTGTCAGCTCGCAGACTGAAGGGTCCTGGGTTCGATTCCAGTCAAGGGCACATACCTTGGTTGCAGGCTCCATCCCTGACCCTGGTCAGGGTGTGTGTGGGAGGCAACCAATTGAAAACAAACAAACAAACAAACAAAAAAAACAACAAGAGAGCCCACTTCCACTTCCTCTAAATATCAATGGAAAAAATATGCTCAGGTGAGGATTAACAAAAAAAAAAAAAGAAAAAAAAGAAGAAGAAAGAAAGAAAATGACCCAATCATCTAACAGAATTTGAGTAAGACATCTATAAAGCTTTAGTTTTTGAAGATTGTAAGATGCCACAAACCTATTTCTTATAAAAAAATAAACACTGATATGCTGATTATCAGAGAAGGAAAATTGGACTATTAGGTTTTCCAGCGATAGAAGAACTTTATTTATAGTGTTCTTAATTTTGGTAAATAAAATTTATGGTTTTATGAACATTTGACTTTTTTTTTTAAAGTATATTTTATTGATTTTTTTACAGAGAGGAAGGGAGAAGGAGAGGGATAGAGAGTTAGAAACATCGATGCGAGAGAAACATTGATTCAGCTGCTTCCTGCACACTCCCTACTGGGGATGTGCCCGCAACCAAGGTACATGCCCTT